CCAAATTTGGACGCTGGAGGCGAGGTGGCCAGACGCTGATGGGGCTTGGGGGAGACGCTAGCCTAATCATCGACAGCGGGCCGGAGCACTTGATTCCTTTGATCATGAGAGTCATGGAGATGCTTGCGCGGCGAACCTTTCGAATGGACGATATCCTGGCCATCCGGTTGAGGCGCTACGAACAAGTGTAATCATCTTTCCGTCGTCGTGACTCGGTCTCCCCGACACAAGAGCCTCTTTCATGGTCGCCACCCCCCAGTCCAGGGGAAAAGGGAGGACTTTAGTAAAGTCGGTGAGAGAAAATGCAGAAGGTCAAGAAAAATGATATATCACAAAGTCAAAATATGTCGAGAAGTAGAGTTACACAGCATGAGAAGGAGTGCAGGTGGCCGGGGGCATCGACAACCCCGGGGATGGAGGCTTGACAGTAGCGCTCATGCTGTGTTACAGACCCATCATCCTCAAATGCAAAGGCGGGAGTAGGGGTCATTTCGAAAATACAGCTGACCCCGATGATCACCACACCAGCCCACATGGAACCTCAGTGCAACATGCTCTTTATTTTCCTGAAACACAAAGCTCAGAATAACAGAGGACGAGGAGTAGTTAGAGAAGGAATTCTGAATGCTTAGAATCAGGCAGGTGGGTCCGGGCAGATTTTCCCTGTCGAGTTTCAGGAGGAAAGACGGCGAGGCTGAAGGATGACGATGGTGGGGAAAGGGGGAGGGGAAGAGGGTCTCCACTCGGGGCCATTGGCCAGAAGCTTGTCCCACTATCGAAGAGGATCCCGTCGCTCGTTATATCAGATGCTACGCAGCACTCCCAATCAGCTGTCCAACATTTTCACTGGAATGACTCGCATGACGCTGATGGAGTTTTTTTCAGTGAGAATAGCCAGAATAACACGATGTCCACTTTTACACAGAGAAAATCCCAAACTCAGAGTCACGTGGACAAGGACAACGATATCCCACGTGCCGTCGCCTTGGCAGTTCGCCTCGGTGAGACAATAGCCCGAGACGGCGGGGCATGACCTCATCCCGGTTCGGGAACATTGCGCCGGCTATATGATATTTTCCTTCGCCTAAATCCCAATACACCATATGCCAACTGCAAGAGATGTTGTTGTCGCTTGCAACAGATTCGCAGATGCACACTTCTCACAGCAAACAATAACTCGTTCGATACAATGGTTGACGTACCGCTAAAACTCAACATTGGAGCCACCATTCCTGCCTTGGGTCTGGGTATGTTATATTCCCTCTCCTTCGCTAACCAATTCCCGAAAAAGACACCGGCTAACAGGGATGTAGGCACATGGCAGAGCCCAGAAGGCCAGGTCCGTGCGGCCGTTGCACACGCGATCAAGTCAGGTTACCGCCACATCGACTGCGCCTATGTCTACGGGAACGAAAAGGAAGTGGGCGAGGGGATCAAGGAGGGACTCGCTGCTGCAGGCATTCCCAGGAGTGACCTGTTCATTACGACCAAACTGTGGTGCACATATCACACGAGGGTGGAGCAGAACTTGGACATAAGCTTGAAGCTACTGGGTCTCGACTACGTGGACCTCTACCTCATTCACTGGCCCGTTGCCATGAACCCCAACGGCAATGACGAAAAATTCCCCAAATTGCCCGATGGATCCAGGGACTTGCTTCGCGACCGATCCCACGTCGACACGTACAAGGACATGGAGAAGTTGCTCAAGACGGGAAAGACAAAGGCGATTGGCGTGGCCAACTACTCAAAGCGATATCTCGAGGAGCTGCTTCCCCACGTCGAGGTGGTCCCGGCCACGAACCAAATCGAGAACCACCCACTCCTTCCCCAGCAAGAGATTGTGGACTACTGCAAAGAGAAAGGCATCCTCATCACCGCGTACAGCCCGCTGGGTAGCACGGGGAGTCCCCTGATGAAGGACCCACACGTGGTCAAGCTGGCCGAGCAGAAGGGAGTCACACCAGGCTGCATCCTCCTGAGTTACCATGTCGCCAGAGGCAGTTCTGTGCTCGCCAAGTCGGTCACACCTTCTCGCATTGACGAGAACAAGAAAATCGTCTCCCTGTCGGACGGCGACCTTGCCTCTCTGGCCGAAATCTCCAAGACCGGCCTCACCCGCTTTGTCTATCCCGCGTTCGGCGTCGACTTTGGCTTCCCGGACAAGCAATAGAGAGCTCCATTGGCTGAGGAGGATTCTGGCGTTCAAATAGACCTCCAACACTTTTCTCATCATTGGTGGCATAGCGAGTGAGAGAAGTACTGACACAGGACCAGAAAGGTTTGGGTGTCTAGCACTTGTGCGCACTTGTGGATAGATGGCCATGACATTGGTGATTTCGCAGGCAACAGCAACAACTCAACCCTTCCAAGAGGTTGTTGTTAAGCAAACTAGACATTCCTCTTTTCTTTCCTGGATTGGCATGAAGACAGAATTTCCCCCAGATTCCCCTAAGTATGTCGATTCCCAGGATTGAGAATTCCGCCCCCAATCGCTTACTGAACACCTCGTACATTCTCCTTGTCCCCTTCTCAAGATGCTAAGAATGCCCACTTTCGCATTCTCGCCAAATACCATGTCCACAAACGACAAAATGCATGAGATTGTATCCAACCCCAACCCAGAGAAGTGAGCAAGCAAATCGCTCAAACTCGATCGGCAGGGCGGTCTGGCCCAAGCTTGTCGGGTATGCTGAACAAAGCGGAAGCCCAACCGAACGACCCCCGGACCCCGGCCCTCCCATTGTCTGGACCCTGCGCCGAGCAAGCGAACGAGAAGCGGATAGGCATTGCCGGCCAAGTGTCGGTGGGGGAGGTGGGTGGACACCTTATTCTTGATGTCTGGCTGGGTTGCCTTCTCCCACTACCACCAGCAGCGGTAGCGGTAGACCCCATATATGCACTGCACTGAACGGCAATGCAGAGCGAGAGAATTTCCGTTCTGCATCGAAGCGGGTCTTGTCAATGAATGTAATTTTGAGTTGCCGGACCGTACCACGCACGCATCCGTATCGAGTGGCCTACTCTACAGGTCACAGGTGTGGCCAGTCTTGGGTTGATGATCTGTGCTTGCTGCTAAGTACATACATAGATACACATCTACCATCCTACAATCAAGCAAAGACTATATTACGACACACCGCACCGTCGGCACGCCAACACGGAAGTTAGGTATCTTATAAGGCTACCCTATCGAGGTTTGATCTCGGGCAGCAATTTGGACATAGAACCCGCCATCGAGGACACCACCTGTTGTACTGTCAAGAATGGGTTCACACGCAGAGAAAAGTGGGAAGATGCTCAATATCGCAGTGGCTGGGCTGGGACGAATGGTGAGAGGCTTCTCGAATTCTTTTTCCCTCCAAATCCAGTCATATAAGCAGCATACTCTGCACTTTGATATGCTGATTTTTCTCTGCTTAACAGGGCAAGCGCCACGTCGCAACACTCCTTAACCGTGTCGCCCGCGCCCGAGTCGTCGCGGTCTGCAGTGCAGCTCCCCATGAGACGGAATGGGCACGCGGGAATCAAGACTACATCGACTTCGACATCAAGGTCTACGACAGCTACGATGACATGCTGAACCACCAAGGCCTGCAAGCGGTCTGGATCTCGACCAGCACCGATGTTCACGCGAGCCATACGATCAAGGCTGTCGAAAAGGGCCTGCACGTCCTGTGCGAGAAGCCGTTAAGCACAGATCTGAACGAAGTACGTCCCGGCTCCTTCAGGGTTATCCTAATCCCTGCTCTGTGCCGTATTGACTCCCTCTTGACCAAGCACAGGTTTCGGCTGCAATCGCCGCCGCAGAATCCCGGCCCGATCTGAAAGTGATGGCAGGGTTCTCGCGGCGCTTCGACGCCTCCTACCGGGACGCATACCAAAAGGTCAAATCCAACACCATCGGCGAGCCGTACCTAGTCCGCAGCAACACTTGCGACCTGCTGGACGAGACAGGGTTCTTCGTCGCATACGCGAAGCGCAACGGCGGAATCTTCGTCGACTGCACGATCCACGACATCGATCTCGCGCTGTGGTTCATGGACAGTCCTGCGCCAAAGTCCTGCTTCGCTGTGGGCACGTTGAAGCACCATCCAGAACTGGCCGAGAGCCACGATGTGGACAATGGGGTCGGCGTTGTAGAGTTCTATGGCGGCAAGATCGCATACTTCCACGCCTCGCGCACCCAGGCCCATGGCCACGACGTCTGCACTGAAATCAGTGGCACCCAAGGCAAGGTTATGGTCAACGTCATCCCCAAAGCCAACAACGTGGTCGTCGCGGACAGGACGGGTATGCGACACGAGGTCCAGCCGGAATACTGGCAGCGCTTCGAGGACGCCTTTGCAACCGAGGCTCAGGAGTTTGTCACCGCCGTGCTCGATGACAACAAGGTGCCAGTGTCTTTGGAGACGGGGTTCCTCGTCATGAAGATCGGGCGCGCGTTACAGGAGAGTCTGATGACAGGAAAAGTGATCAAGTTTAATGAACAGGGCGAGAGAATCGAGGATATTTAGGGATCTGGAGATCATTGATCCGTGAGAGGGCGTCGAGGTGTACAGGCTTGACATACCAGCGGTCAACCTCGTGGTAACCGCGTCTGGAGGTCCCATGTCTTCCCACGGTACATGGAAGAGCTATTGAGCGATGTAAGCGAAAGAAGACGCTGTGCCGATCACCATACATAGATCAACACTCGCTGTGAGATCATTACGAGACAATTCTAGATGCTCAAGACAGGCCACCTACTGTGCATCGTGACTACAATTGACGATGGGCGCAGGGAGGGGAAAGTTGATATGCATGAATCATGCTTGATGCTCATTGGCTATCTCTTTTCTTTGTGCATGACTAGTTGGCTTGGCGCCAAGCTCCTCCGTGAACTCTCTGAAAACACCACAGCAAAGGTCACTTCACCCTCATTTTTGAGGGACACTCTCGCTCACCCGGCTCTCACACGCACAGATCTCTGCTGCGCTCTCATATCCAAAACAGACAATCTATCTCCTGGCAGGTTTCTTGTATCCTGCCGATCGCACAGCAGGAGTTCGGACATACACCTCCTCCACGTAGTTGGGGTCGTTGCTGCGGATCCCCGCCCTCATGCGGCGACGGGCATTGATCTGCTTCCGATCTGTTCCCTGGTATGTGGTGTCTTGCCCCTTTGCAATCCACCAAGACTCTGGGTGTGGCTCGTACACATCTCTCAAGTGACGGAATTCCTCTCTGTTCATCTTGGCCCTGGAAACCCCGTGGACGTTCTCGACGTGGAGGAAATAGCCTGAGGTGTTCTGGAAGGCGTGGAAGCAGTTCAAGTTGGGGCCAGGACACATGTAAGGGTCGGTGCAGTCGAGTAGAGATGGTAGGCGGCGAGTCCACTTGGGAGCGTCAGCATCTTGATTGCTTTGCTGCAAGGCACCTTGGTCCTGAGTACGTTGACCGCTTCTGGTGAGGAATGGGCCAGCTGCGCTGGTCGTGGCAGGCATGCTAGTGTCGACTCGTGGACCATATCCCTGGTGCTTCTTCAATTTCTTGAGTGGTGCTGGAGATTCGTTGTCGCCATTGCCAGACTCAGTATCAGCGTTTGCGTCATCCAATTTGCGCTTTCTAACACGCGGTGTCTCAACATTTTCCTCGTCATCATTTGTCGGAATATTGCCGGGACCAGCCTTGATCGCGCGGCTAACTGCCTGGATTCATCTGTTAGCAAAGGGATGACAATAACATGGCGAGATGATAATGACTATCACAGCAGAGGATATGTTTTGCGGAGGAGATGAACTCACCGGAAGAGCAGGAGTGTCCATAGTGGTACGAACAAGACCGTCGTTTTGAGAAACACGAGTCAAAACATCCTTGTCAGATCGAACAACTGGTTTCGGCTTGAGAACCGGAAGTTTGGGTCGACCACCAAGGCCAGGGGAGAGATCAGCTGTGTCTTTGCCCATGTTTCTTACTTCTTCGGCAGCTTTCACGAAGTCGTTTACTCTGTTGATGAATCTGTATTCAGACAGTCTGGGACGAGGAGTGAAGGGTACATGTGGTGCTGACAGAGAGTTATTTTCAACAATTTGAGGAACCGGATTAACAGCGCCAAGGACTGGAAGATCAACTGCTGCACCCATAACAAAGTCGCGGGTCAGGCTATCAAGGTCAGGCAGTTCCCCTTCAAGCCCTTCGACCACGTACGGGTCGAAGTGAATTGTGTTTCTTGCCGACTCAAGTGGCTTTGAGGCAACATTTGACGCTGATTCAAACCCAGGTGGAAAAACAGATGGATCTAGAGCAACAGAGAGTCAGTGGTCTGTAACGCGTCAACAAGGTATGTACTTGCCGTTCTGCCAGGAGGTTGAGTTGAGCCCGTTGGCATCGTTGGCATCGTTGCGGTGCATGTTACTGAAGTTGTCAAACTGAGTGCCAACGGCATTCAAGTCTCTGTCACCTGCAACGCCCGTACTGACGGGGCCACTGGCACCTTCCAAGTCGAAGAAGGCGTCGAAGCCAACAAATGTGGTATCAAGATTGAGGGATGGAAGGTCTGCGGTCATGTGACCTGTGGCAGCAACACTGCCAGCAAGATCATGAAAACCATTGCCAGCGAGGTCAAACCCATGGTCGATGTTGTCAGTGGCTGCAAACCCATGGAAGTCATCAGCCGTGCTCTCGAGGAACTCGGTAAAGGAGAAGTCGGGTTGAATGTTGTCATTCTGGAGACTTGTCAGCAACAGTGTTCATAAGACTGGGGCATCACTGCGTACGAGGTCATTTTGGAGCAATGCAGACAGATGAGCAAACTCTTCGTCGACAGCGTCACCTTGAGTGGGACCGATCACGGCTGAGGCTTGACTAGTCGCCGGCGTTGGCGCAGCGTTGCTGATGAGACGCGGGTCCAGGAACTCGATCTCATTCGCCGGAGGTGGTTGGAAATGTCTCGGCGACGCCATATTCGGCAGGAAGGAGATTCAGCCTCGCGCGACGCAGGACAGATGCTTAACAAGTGGTGATGGTTACCGTGACAAGAAGCGCGACAAAGAAAAGATGGTGTTACAAGAAAAGGTTGACACAGGGAGAGGTGTTGATGAAAGGTGAAGTGAGGGAGTTTGAAAGGAATTCAGTTGACGCTTTTGTTGTGCGAAAGTGCTCTGGCACTGTGAGTGAAATATCGCGCTAGCGAACAACACGGTGTGGTATAAAGATCCGGCGGTGCAAATGGACCATGATTACATTGCAGAGGCCGGTCTTGCAGTTGAGACTGTGTGCTCTCTCTGTGGCCGTCGAGACAGTCTATGGCCTCGTGTCTACGTCCTGTGAGCTTGGGGACTGTCCCCAATTGCACCACCCGCCCTGGTCTTGCACTACCAGTCCAGAACGGCAATCCTTGTTTTCGAGAGGCTCACTCTTTCTCTGCGCTGCTCTGAGAATGCTTCTTGTCGAGGCACGGCCGATACCGCAGGCACCTGAAGACAGGGAATGGACAAGAAGGGCAAAGGACAAAGACTCCAGCCATCCATTCAAGACTTATCGCATTGGACACACAGGCATCACCCCGGACAACGAACACCCTGCACTGCACTGAGTACTCAGCACTGACATCACTTCACAGCCTTGTACGTTACTTGCAGCGACATAAACAACACAATCCTGCGCCACAGTCACAATCACAGACAGTCACCAGAAGAAGTCCATTCCACTACTACACAGCAGTTGAATCTCAAGCATAAAGGGAGTGATAGCGAGCAAAAGATGGCCCTGAATTCGCGCTTCTAGCGACTACGGGTTCAATGGCAAGAGTGGGATTTATGCTACAATTTACATGCATGGTATTTGTGTCCTGTGGGCGAGAGAGTTTTGGCGCCACTCAGTAGCACACAATGTTTGGACAAACACCAGTTAGAAGACCGCATGGGTATTTGAGCAAGAGAGGGGTATACAGGAAGGAAGAAAAAAAAGAAAGAAAAAAGAAATACAAAAGGACTTTGGTTTGTGTCAATATGGATTTGTCTAGGAAGCTCTCTCCGCAGAAAGCGCCACATCGGTCGATATCCTTCCCCTATCTGATTCTTGATCTGCATTCTGTCATTCTGCAAGACTTCCACCCTCGGTGTGACCCTGAATGCTTGTCGATTTGAAGCCTGAGACCAGCGTGCCAGCCCTGCCATATGCGAAAATACCAGCCAGTCCCTGCACCAATTGAAAAGTTTGACACATGTCGGCCCCCGCTTACTGCGTGCCTAAGCTGCCACTACCTTGCTCGTCTTTCACAGGAGGATCGTCAAAGTTTGGAACCACAAGCTGGCTCAGGATAATTTCAAAGTCTGCCCCCGCCATTTCTGCCGTGTAGTCGCCGAAAACTCCGTCCAAAATCTCGTTCGATGCTAGAGTTGGTCCCTGGATGTCGCTGGAAGTTGGATCTTCGCTGGCGTCGTCTCTCGTCAACACCTCGGTCATCTCAGGCACATCCCCGTACCCCTTTTGCTGAGGAACCGGGCCAGCAAGGCGTTTGATCTCTGCGATGGCGACCGGGTCCGGGATTGGAGACAGCGAGGCCGGGTCGAGAGTCACCAACGAGCCGTACGAATGCGGAAGCGGTGCGTCGAGAGTGCGAACCAGCGGCGTCAGTGTCGGTGTCAGTGTTGGTGTCGCCGTCGCCGCGCGATGGAAAAGGGTAGGGCACGGTAATGACAAGTGTTGCCTGATCAAAGGCGACTGAGTCCTCAGCAACCCCGCCTTCGGGTGGTGTAGAGGCATGGACATGTGTATCTTCATGTTGAAAGGCGACTCGTGTTCGTATTCCTGAGGTGAAGGGCTGGATTTGGTTGCAAGCACCGACCGATCTGGATCTTCTAGATCCTCTGGAAACTCTAGATACTCCTGATGCTCTGGGTACTCTGGGTATTCTGGGTATTCTGGATACTCCTGGTACTCTGGAAACTCGGTGGCAGTTGTGAAGACAAACTCCTCGACGTAATTTAAGTAGGATCGCTTTTGTCCCCGAGGAGATTGATCCATTTTTCTCACAAATACGAGATTCACCGCCCCCCCTCCGCCGAGGGCACTCAGCTATCCCTTACTTTGGAACTTTGGGGGCTCCCCTGCTTTGATTCGCGTTGGTTGACAGGTGGTGGTGGAGTTGGGCTCTGGCGTTGGAGTGATCTGGTTGGTTGGGTGGGTTGGTATGCAAGGAGGTTTTTAGGATCCAAGTTTGACTGGACACAATGCAAGGGAGATGGAGATGGAGGGGGCGAGGGGGAGGGAGAGGGGGGTGAGAGAACCTCGTCTGCCTAATGTGTTCAATCCTTGAAAGGGTGACAACGAGACTCATATTTCCATAGGGCAGAGGAGAGTCAGTTACAGCAAGTGCGGTGTTTATCAGTAATGTGACATGCAAGTTCAGTTCCTCGCAACTGCGGCTGGCGGCTGGCAGCTGGTTTCACGAACTAGCTGGCGCAAGGCAGGATCAATCACGGATACGCACATGTCAAAGCATGCTCCTTTGAAGCTCGGCTTAAGACAAAGACAAAGACAAAGACAAAGTGACAGCGGGCACTATGCACGATTATGGAGTGGATTTGTTTGCTAAGTGCAATGTTTGCACGGAGCAATCAAAGGAGGATGTCAACATTGTCAAGCGCCTGTACTATTCAGTATCTGGTAATTTTGAGTGAATGAGTGACAGTCTCAGCGAATCCCCATCGTTGTGGCGAGCGTGTATAGCGCAGTATTCCACCACAGATGTTCATCGTGTTCGTCGTGTGCTCGTCCCACCCCTTGCATTGTACTAGATACTCTTGTAACACCCAGCAGCAGATGTGCCCGTCCAAATCCAGCCATGAGCCAGAAGCCCCAGATCACTGTTTAGCCTCGATCTGAGCCAACAACTTCTCATACTCACTCCAATCCAACATGATGCCCTTGCACCCAGTTGCGAGCAGGTGGTTGGCCATCTCATGCTTCTGTCCTCTTGTGTGTGTAGAACCAACATATCCCAGACATGGTATCTTCCCATTCACAGCCGCCAGTACCCCAGACTTGCTGTCCTCAGTAGTCAGGCATTCGTTTGCATTGGCTCCAAGGTGCTTAATGGCGTGGAGGTAGACGGCAGGATTTGGCTTGCTGGTTGGACAAGGCAGCGAATCGGCAGCCGAGAAGATGTTGGCCGGGTGAAAGAACCTGTCGTGGCCGGCTGTCACAAGACATGCTTTGATGCGTCGAATGCTCGAGGAGGAAACGACGGCCAACTTGTATTTGCCCTGCGAATGGAGGGTTTGGAGAATCTCAATCGACCCAGGGCATGCCGTCGCTTTCGCCTCGATATTTGCAATCACACGATCCTCTTCGAGCTTGATGTACCCTCGCAATTCTTCGGGGTCTAGAGTGAAGCCGAGCTGTTGCTGCAGCACGGCCATGATGTTGCGAAAGTTAAGGCCGACGAATTGCGAGATCAGGTCTTCGGACGTATACCGAGTGGCAATGCCTTTCCTCTCCAGAATCTCGTTGACGATCTCACTGCAGACATCGAAAGCAATGTCCTCAGAAAGCACGAGGGTGTTGTCACAGTCGAAGAGAAGGCATTTGATCTGCGAATAGAGTGTTAGCCCATATCAGACAACGCTCGTGACAGGACCATGCCGAGGCACAACGGATGTGAACTGACCGCCATGGCTTTCCCTTTGAAACGGTATACTTCCTATGGACCTGTTTAGGGGCCGACTTGAGACAAATGGTATGAATGAGTGACGGGAGAGAGCGACAGACAGGGAATGGACTTGCACAAGGAACGGTATGAAGAACAGAGTTCAAGAAGGTGTTTGAATAGGTAGTTTGGCATTGTAAAGAGGGCCGCAGGCAGTTAATGGCAGTCCAGATGCCAAAAAGTCACGGGACCGGACCAACGCAGTCAACCGACCTTCTCTTTGTGAAGGAGGCGTTTGAATGGAACAGGTTAGCGCGGATCGGATCATCGTATTGCCGGAGATGCTGTCATTAGTGACTTGTAAGTACCTGCCTAGCAGAAGGGTGGCCCATGATTCCAGGGGCTGGCAAGGCTGAGCAAGGCTGTGCGGTCCTGTTGAGCCAATTCGCAAGAGATGTTGGTGACCCCTGGCGCCATCCCCTCACTGAGAAAGGCTGGTCAGCCACGACACAGCAAAGACATAGATGAATCCTGCCAACAACCCATGCATTTGTTCGATACCCAGCATTTCTTGCGCACCAACACGACCAAATTTAGGTCATTTGGGTGAAGCATAGTCCTCATGGCCACTTGATGTTCGCTGAATTCAACTTGTTGCATCAAGGATGTGGTAAGACATCCTCCAGTTTGCCAACATCCTGAGGCAATGGAACCATTTTGGTGAAGGGTTCCTCGGTATCGACCAGCTCCTCCATTGTCACGACCACTATACCAGTTGGGTCGATCCTTTGTCGCTGTTGTCTCCATTCATGGTACATGTCCCACCACCATTGGTGCGTATCTCCATCTCTGCCAAGATGGCCGGCCGGCAAGACCATCCTGACTGAGCTGTCGTTCCCAAGGCTTGTCAACAATGTAATGGAGTATCACCAGCGTATCATCAGACCACATTCGAGGATGCCAATATCTCATAGTCTTGAGGGCATTGTATTTCCAGGATAGTGGATGCCACTTCCCACGAAAAAAATCGGCGAGGAAGTCCTGATCCGGGAATTGATAGTTCTTGAGCTCATCGCTGGAGTTGAAGAAACGAAGCATCCTATCCCACAACTGTTCCGAGGGGTAGAAGAGAAACATGCCGCTGTTCAAGAGATGATATGTGGGTCGGCTTTCGGAGGTCATCGCTGGAGCTACCTCGTCAGGGTGGTTCAAGGGCGTATAGGCACAATTTCCCTTGTGCCACTCAGACGGAGCCCATGGATCGCTATCCAGGTTACACACACAGGCGTGATTGGCCCCGATCCATCCTCGACCTGGTAAGCTGCATTCAAAGATGTCGTCGGGATTTTGGAAGATCGCCATATCGGCATCAAGAAAGACGGCCATTGTAAAGCCTAGCTTGTAGATCTCGAAGGCTCGGAGTTTGGTAAATGTGTCCTTGAAACGTTCAGCCACACTGGCAGTGTTCTCCTGGTCCTTCCTCGGCAGCAAAAGGGGAACTCTTTGCAGTTGTATTCGGCCAGAGTGCTTGGCTTCTTCTTGGAGGACGTCGAGAGCCTTGTCTCCCAACGAGTCCGTGTACTGCACCAACAAAGGGTGACTAGACTTGTGCTGATCGAGAGTATGAGCCAAGACAACAACCCCTGGTAGATACGATGGCCTTGTCACCAAGGTTACCCAGCACCGCTTTTCAGGAGAAACTGTCAGTATTGCCATTGTGAGAGCACTCGAATCAAACAGTGCCCGGGAAACTGAATAACAATGAATCCGTACTCAGTCCCTTTGCTTTTCAACGCCATCATTTCTCCCTCATTCCCACTGGCCAATATTGCAGACCATTCCAAGTCATGTCGTCATCAGTCTTGAAGTTCCTATCTGTGTCCCCTGGGAAGCCTAACCCTCAGGACACTGGTCTCTAAGGGTGCAATGCACATTCTGTACATGATAAGCACGCACAAGTGTTGATCCTCATGATTCGGAAAAAGTCCCAAGAGTGTACAAGTGTAATCTCGCCTGATAAAGGGACCAACTCCTTGAAATTGGGCGACTCGACGTCTGAGCTCGAATCAGAAGGACGCGAATCATGTGACGGAATGTGATTGGCGGAAACATGACTCAGGCCCGGTTTCTCCGCCGACCGATTGGGCATCGTCTTTGTTGACATTTGCATCCACGAATGGGAAGGTCAGCCGAGCTCGGACCCCTCGCCTAACGCTCAGCACGGAATCGCACCCTTTCAGCTGCAATCCTCAGCTGTTACTTTGTGGATAACGATCCCTCGAGTCCATTCTCTGTGTCATGATTATATTAGGTTGACCTTTGGACTTAGGCTCCTTTACCGTTCCCTTCTGAACGACTATTTTATCGTCTCTTGGGAATATCTTGGATAACAACCCATCCTCATTCAACGCAGCCTGGTCAACAGCCGCGCCCTCGTGCCCGTTCCTTTCGGGTGAAGACCTGAAGTTATACTCGCCGATCTGAATCGACCACTGTCTGACATGCAACGATGGTATTGCTCGAGAAGCAATGGGTAAATGTGCAAGAGAAGACATTTACCAAATGGTACGCAGTGGGATCCCTCGAGTTCCGTGAACATGGATTGATTTCATTAGGTTGAATAACAAGATCGTCTCGCGCGAAGTCGCCGTCAAAAGCCTTGTGACCGACCTCTCCGACGGTATCATCCTAATCCACCTGCTCGAAGTCCTCAGTAATGAATCTCTCGGTCGATATGCTTCGAACCCGAGACTGCGGGTTCAGAGGTTCGAGAATGTCAATAAATCGCTGGAATTCATCAAGAGCCGCGGCATTCAGATGACAAACATCGGAGCTGAAGATGTGGTTGATGGCAACAGAAAAATTATACTAGGCCTGATATGGACCCTCATTCTGCGGTTTACCATTTCCGACATCAATGAAGAGGGCTTGACGGCTAAAGAAGGCCTGCTCCTCTGGTGCCAAAGGAAGACAGCGTGTTACGAAGGTGTTGAAGTGCGAGACTTTTCTTCTTCGTGGAATGACGGGCTCGCTTTTTGTGCCCTACTCGATATCCATCGACCCGATCTCATTGATTTCGACACGTTGGATAAATCGGACCACAAAGGAAACATGAAACTGGCCTTCGATATCGCTTCGAAGGAGATTGGCATTCCCGATCTGCTCGATGTGGAGGACGTTGCGGATGTCCCCAAACCGGACGAGCGATCCCTGATGACATACATAGCCTACTGGTTCCACGCATTTAGTGCAATGGAGCGGGTTGAAAACGCAGGCAGGAGGGTCGAGAAGTTTGTGAGCAACATGCAAGGTGCTTGGGAGATGGAGTCGGCATATGAAAAGAGAATGCGTGCTCTCCTGCAGCAGATCCGGCACCAGCGACAGACCTGGCGTGATTCTAGGTTTGAGGGAACATACGCGGACGCTAAAGCCCAAGCCAATGAACTCGCCAGCTACAAACGAAATCAGAAACGAAGGTGGGTGGCAGAAAAGTCCGATCTGGCGGCCCTTCTGGGCAATATCAAGACGAAATTGTCCACGTATCGCCTACGTCCATACGAGCCTCCGGCAGAGCTCCGATTGGAAGTGCTTGATCATGAATGGGCGGCTTTGAGCACCGATGAGCATGCGAGAAGCAAACTGATCAACGAAACCATCCGGGACATCAAGAACGCTCTGAGACGAAGCTTCGCGGACAAGGCCAACGACTTTGCATTAACCCTGAACACACTTTCTCTAGCCATATCAGGGCTGGAGGGTGATGTCGAAGATCAACTAGATCATGCGCAGCGACTGTCAGCAAACTTGGGACCTCTCGAACAGTATCTGGAGGGAATAGCAATCCTTGACGAGAAATGCCAGGAGGCCAATATCGATGAAAACGACTACACGACTTATACTTACGATGAGTTGCTGTACGAGCTGAGCTTGGTAAGGACGAGTGTACAGAAAAAGCTGACCTTCCTCGAAAACCAAATGGTCGCGCGCAACATGACCAATCTGACACCAATTCAGCTTGAAGAGTTTGAGTCTGTGTTTCGACATTTTGACCGAGACGGCACAAACACTTTGACAGAGTTGGAGTTTAGCGCCGCACTGGCCAGCCTTGGACTGGTGTACGATGAACAAGAGATGCACGAGAAGTTCCTAGAAGTGTGTCACACCGGCATCGACCCGACAATGTCACCCATCTCTCGACGGCAGAGGGAGTCTCGTGGAGTAGGCTTCGAGCAATTCATCCGCTTCATGGTCGCCGTGACCGAAGACCAAAACAGCGCCGAACAAGTCTTCCAATCCTTCCGTGAGGTGGCAGACGGGAAACCCTATGTCACAGAGATGGATCTCAGGCATTCGTTGATTCCAGACGATCTTATCGAAGACCTGTTACAAAGTATGCCCGAGCACACAGGCCCAGACATGGAAGCAGACCGAGACGTACCCAAGTACGATTATATTACTTTCATGCAGGGCATGATCGGGGATGGACATCACGATGCTGGGCAGAAAGATGACGGTCGAGGCAGCCAATCAAATGGTGTTACGACGCCGACCACCCCTAGGCGATAGAAATTCACTCCTTTTCGCTTTCAGACATTCTGGTATCGTTCAATTCTGGGTTAGCCCATTGGTGTTGGAGGTGTTTGGATAGATATCAGCTTGAGCGATCCATGACCATTCAACTTTTATGAGCCGGAAGGGGGGGATTGCCTGGGTCCAGGAGAAAAGCAGCTGGAAACTGAAAATAGCCCTCGTCGAATAACGCACATAATTTAATCACTGTCATCCCTATTCCTATGGCCTTCATTATTTCCTAGATAATGAGTCGAAGTGACCGAGGCTCGGATGTTGGGAATCCCCGCTCCGCCCCGCCTTCCGCCTCGGCACCAACGACTTTGACTTTGACTCCCATCCCTCCTAATGGACCGGGTGTCTGTTGTCGAGTCAGTGCTCGGCCCCCGAAAGAACTACTCACACCCTCATTCCGCCACGATGTCCGGGGTACAACAGCTCGCCGGTGTCTCGAGACGAAGCTCCAGGAGCTGTCAGATCCCTCACATGCACCCGCCTTGAAGAGTTGGATACGTTGGGACCAGCCAGTCGCTCACGATGCCGCCGCTCAAGACAACTTATTTGCCGTCGAAAGACTATGAGCTCCCCGACATCGATATTCTGACCTTGATATACGGTACGTCGTTGTTTTCTTGATCCCATGTCCTCCTCGAACACGCGACTGATTGTATATGCTCACTAGAATCGCCCGATGCATGGACGACCGATTCCACGATCCTCCACGCCGAAGCTGCTCTCCCCTCAAACAGTGTCACCAAGGCGCAAGCGAGAACTTACACCAAGCGCCTCACCCATGTCTTCCGGCACCAGTTCGGTATTGGCGCAAGTGGCCCGGGCAAGGACGTCGTGGTGTGCATCTCGTCTGGCCAAGTTCTGCTGCCGAACATCTTTTTCGGAGTGATCGCCGCAGGAGGTGTATTTAGCGCGGCAAGCTCCTCATTCACACCCTTCGAGTTGGCCAGGCAGGTCAAGCAGGGGAAGAGTAATTTGATCGTATGCAGCTCCGACTGTGTCGAGGTTGCCGTCCGGGCGGCCAAGGAATGCAATGTACCGCTTGACCGGGTATTGGTGCTCGAGTCGATGGGTGGGAAGAGGGTACTACAGGACGTGGAGCGAAAGGGCAGGAATTTCCTCCAGGAAGGCTGGAAGAAGGAAGAGGAGCTTGACTGGGAGAGAATCACGGACAAGAAAATATTGGAGCAGCGGGTGGTCTGTTTGCTGTACAGCAGTGGGACGACAGGTGTTCCAAAGGGTAAGCCTCCCTTGACGTTTCCCTCAATTCGTTCTTTCACGAGATGCCTTTGCTGACCTCTGCTGCCTGTGTCGATGTCCAGGGGTCAACATATCGCACCTCAATCTCGTCTCTGAAGGGCTTATCCCCCAGTATATGATCCGCGAATCCTTCACCAGGATACGCCGGCGCGATCCCTCGTTCAACCTCGAATATCGGACCTTGGCCCATCTGCCCGCGGCGCACATCGCCGGCTGCCAGGGCTACTTTGTCAACCCGTCGATCGCTGGGGGACCTGTCTACTGGATGCCGAAATTCGACTTCCCCAAGTTCCTTGAATACTGCAAGAAATTCCGAATCACCCAATTCTTCACCGTGCCGCCGATATATCTACTCATTGCGAAGAGCCCGCTGGTGACGGACCAGTTTGCGAACATGGTGCACGCGGTCTCGGGCGCCGCGCCCATGGGAGCAGAGCTGCAGGCCATGGCAGAGAAGAAGCTCGGCTGCCAGATCAGCCAGGTGTGGGGGTTGAGCGAGACGACGGGCGCCGTGACGGGCATGCCGTACGACCAGGACGACAAGACGGGCTCCATCAGTCCGCTATTGCCAAATATCCGCATGAGGATCGTGGATGACGATGAAAACGATGTGGAGGAAGGATCGGAGGGGGAGCTCATCGTCCAAGGCCCCATGATCACCACGGGCTATTGGGACAATGAGGCGGCGACGAGGGACAGCTTTTCGAAAGACGGGCAGTGGTTCAAGACGGGCGATATCGGCCTGTGTAGGGACGGCAGGTTCTACGTGGTGGATCGGAAGAAGGTATGTTCAATCGGCTTTCGATTTTTCCAATCTTTCCACGCCGAGACAAAACAACCTCGAATTTCGGTTTGAATTTGTTTTATGTGCTGACATCTCACCTCACCCCACGACAGGAACTGATCAAATACAAGGGCCTCCAAATCGCGCCCGCCGAGCTCGAAGCCCTGCTGATCTCCCACCCGCTGATCCAAGACGCCGCGGTCATCGGCGTCCCCGAGCCTGGGGGATTTGGCAACGAAATCCCCCGCGCGTACGTGGTCGCGGACAAATCCAAGGTGTCGGAGGAGGAGATCAAGGACTTTGTCAAGCGCAACCTGGCGCTGCACAAGCAGCTCCGCGGCGGCGTGGTGTTTCTCGACGCGATCCCCAAGAGCGCCAGCGGGAAAATCCTCCGGAAGGATCTGAGGGAGTTGGCCAAGAGGGAGAGGGTGGGCGAGCAAGCGAAGATTTAACGCGAATTAACGCGAGACAGACAGGGGGCGGAAGGACGGTCCGGGATGAAGTGGATTGGGAAGAGACGTGATGTGAGCGGACGGGGCGGGGATAGATCAAATGGTGTTGGTTGATATACAGTAGATTGGGACTCCGGACTTTCTATGACTCTGGAGAGCGGCGATTTGAATGGGTAGAAAAAGGTACGAGCCAGTCACAGTTCAGAGAGGGGTGTACTTGAGGGTTTCCGGCAGGTCACCACCATTTAGCAGCATATTTTGATATACAGATACACGTGGAAAGTGGCCAACATTGGCCAACATTTCCCACCAAGAGGAGTGATTCTCTCGTGGGATTTGCGCCGCCACTGCTCTTCGGAGGCCGTATTCCGAAACTCTTGGTACCCTCGGTTACGCCGCCTCATATCTTCCACACCTTAACATTGTGCGGATTCTTGGAGATGGCATGCGCAACAAGCTTGCTGACGGCGCCTTGTTCCTCCCTCCCGTTTTTCCACTCCTTGGGGCCGGCGAGATAGGCGATGAAGCCTGGTGGGCCGGAGATGAGGATCTGCCTCTGTTCAGGAGAGGTGCCGTACCCGGTTGAGAAGTCCTTGTCGTCGAACCTAGACAGGGCTCGGAAGACGGCGTCCTCGTCGATCCACGTGTCCTCGGCGTTGACAAAGTACTCCACCGTGATTTGGCCGGGGTACTTTTGCTTCAGGGCCTCTAATTCTTGCACGATGACGCCCTTTTTCTCAGAAACTGGAGGTGGTGGCTTCGGTTTCGACTTGGAAAAGAAGCCTGACCAGGTTGGTTTGGGGGGCAGTGGTTCCGCGGGGGGGTCATCACTGATGCCGCCCAGGCAGTCCTCACGCAGCCGGTTTGCCCATAAGATATGCAGCTTTCGTTGCTTATTCCCCGCGTCGCTTTCCGCAGGCTTATTCCCTTCAAACAAGGCATGCGCCACCTGTAAAGCGGGCGCGATACCCGTGCCACCCGCAAAGAACACCACCTGTCGCACCTCTGGGCCTAGTTCATACTCCAAGTTGGGTCCGCGCATTTCGATGTCTGCGCCCAAACGCAATCTGTGAAGATAACTCGACACTTCGCCATAGGGATCCTGTCGGATCAAGAACCTGATTTCACCCTTCTCTTGCGCGGTCTTCTCATCGATCGGCGGCAGTGGTGTGTATGCCCTGACTATCTGAAGCTGCGGCTGCTTGAACTGCACATTCCAGATACCTCTCCTCCACGCATCCTGGTAGAGCTCGTAGTTGTGGTTTTGTTGCTTGGGTACCAGGTGGAATATGCTTGCGGTCGACGAGACAGGTTCTTTCGCGAGGAGCGTGTATGCGGCGAATGAGTCGCCTTTCACCGAGTAAAGGTATGCCTGCCAAAGTGCGAACAGGCCGGATCCCAGTGCGACTCCGATAGCGAGGCGGCGAAAGGTGGGCGAGTGGTTTCGGGCATCAGGAGACTTTGGTGGGTTTTCGGGAGGGGACGAAGTGTATCGCCTCGACGGGCCTGGCCTTAGTGGCCTGAAGGCTCTCTCGAAGTTTTTCGGCGCCTCTCTTGAGCATCTCGCCAGCATTGAAAATGTTGCGGTAGAGGGCATATTCAGAGGGTGTTTAGCCAAAGACCAGAAGTAAATCAATAACTCGCTGCTTTTCCAGGCACGAGGAGTCTATGCTAAATATGAAAATATCCCCATGCTGCCTTTAGCGACGACTCTCTCACCACGTCTGCGTCTTCAGCTCCAGAATGATATTTCCACAACCATCAGTATCCAAGATCCGTGATGTGCATTACCCTAGGCCTATTCAATTAACTAATGGGTGACATGAAAATCTCCAAAACCCTCAAGATGCTTCTCACTGGTCACGTCCCCAGACTTCACTCTTCTCCTGTTTCGAGATCACCACGAATGATCCGGATACCAGTTCTCCTAGTATTATCTTCGTCACTCTGCGCCCGTCCAAACGACTTTCCACACTTCCAAGTCCAGTATTTGGACTGAGCATAGCAGCGATACGTGTCGGCATTCTGTATGGCAACGTACGCGCCCTGACTTCTGAGCTGCATTGCATGAAATGGTCCATATCCATCGGGTGGGTCGGGTCCCCCTGAATCGACCACATTAGCAACGTCAAGAATGATCATGTCAGTCTAGTCAAGTGTCGATCGCCTCGAGGTGTATATGGGGGTGATATTCACACAATCACTCACAAAAGTCAACTATTTGTGGGAACTCGTCGTCGTTCTCATCAATTATATCCGAAAACCCGGTAATATCGTCCAAGAGAAAGGTCCAATGCAGGAGCTCGTGCAAAAGAATGCCACCTGGAGAGGTCATCCAATCACTGTCGTCATCACCGAGGCCGTCGCAAGTGTAGCCTGGCTCAGGGTTGCCTTCTGGGGCTTTGACTGAACTTGGAGGATTCGCTACTTCCTCGGGTGACGGATACTCAAAAGCTTCGTCGCACATGGACACGAGTGCAATATCACCAAGGACGCGAGGATCTATGAAGGCAAACGCGGCGGTGGTTCCCCCTTCACCTTTTGGGACACTTGCTTGTTTTCTGGAAGAGCGGGATGGCTCCCGAATGCAATTTCCAACTGATCGAATTTTGGCTGTGGTTCTTCAGCCATCGAGGAGCTCGAGAGCACTTCAATCACATTTTTGCCGTCTAGCTCCTGGTTGAGGGGCATGTTTGCAATTATCTGGAAGACCTGTTTGACGAATGTCGCTTCCAGGGGCTGAAAGTAGCGAAGGAAGATTTCCTCGCACGGATTAAATGTTGCCGTAGCCACTCTTGCCAACAGCACTGCATCTTCGAAAGCCTGCGCCACCCGTTGAATCTGCCGATCGTGGGAGACGCCTTTAACAGCACTGAACTTTGGTATATTAGCGGCACATATCCTGCCATTCCGCACGAGACACAAGCAACTGATGAAAATAACAGTCAGCTTCCATATTATGGCTTTGTTATGAGCTAATTGATGGAGAACGATGGGCAAGAACTTCGACGACCAGAGCTCGGACATTATGCAGCAATCACACAGCGCGTTCGACGACATCTACGGCGTTTGGACTATCTATTCTTCTACCATTTTACTTGCAGTACGTTGACGTTAGGTCGGTGATACGAAGTTGAAGTTGATCCTGCTCGAGTCTGTCGTCTTAGGCAGTTGTCATGAAGACGGGGATCCGTGATGGTAAATGATCAAGCACATTTCACCTGTACGTTCTCTTTACTCTCGTTCGACTTGAGTTCTGCGATACCAAGCAACTTAGAGAACTCTGTCAAGTATCAGGACTCTTACGTGTCACTTCCCACTCTCAGAGGCCCTTATATGGTTGGAGAGTGTTGAGCTGTCGATCTTTGCCTTTAGCTGAGAGGTGCAACGCGACCGCCCGAGATACACAAGTAGAAAAGGAGGGAGACAATCCATTATTCAATCTCTCATTCTCTGGCCAACTGCCCTTGTGGATTTTACCTTCGTAGCTGGTACCACTTTTCCAACAACGACCCATATATTTCACTTCTGGTGGGAAAGCTGGCAACAGCATGCTTCAAACGGTCAAGAGGAACTTGGCCGACAATTGCAACGGTGCTCCCGTGAAGGAGGTCGCCCGCTTCTCTGCCGACAAACGTCGCTCCGACAAGCACGTTCCTCTCCGAATCCACCACCCATTGGGCCCAGCCGTCATAGTCGAATTCAGCATAGACCCAGGCACCGGGGAAATCAAACGGCACGGCAACTTCCACGGCCTTGATGCCCCTCTTCAAGGCTTCCGCCAAAGTCAGACCAACCGTGGCGACGTTCGGGTCCGTCACGACGACTTGCGAAATGGCAACCTCATCTGATGTTGCGGCGAATTCGCTCCAGGCCTCGGGCTCATGGATGTGGACTCCTCCAGCTCGGGCAATGATGGTCGCCGCGGCAATCCGGCCTTGATAAGTACCCATGTGTGTCAATGGAGCCCGACCGTTTGCGTCTCCAATTGCAAATAACCAATTACCTTCTACGGAAGAAACACACATGCTCTGATCAACAGCCAGGGCACTGCTCAAGCCGATGGTTTCCAGGCCTATGTTGTCCGTACGAGGCTTTCTGCCGGTGGCTATGAGGAGAGCAGAGCCCGTGACGATTTCTCCAGAGCCCAGCTTGACTGAAATCTTGCCGTCACTTTCCTTCCATGCTTCGGCCACTCTCGACGACAAGTGAAAATCGACATTACGAGCAGTCAATGCTTCTCGAACACGCTTCCCGGCTTCCGGCTCATATCGACCCAGCACTTCAGACGTGGCACTGACCATGGTGACCTTGGCGCCGAAAGTGGAAAAGGCTGTGGCCATCTCGCAGCCAACGACCCCCGAACCCACGATAATCAAATGCTCAGGTACCGTATCTGCCGCGGTGGCCTCTCTTGGAGTCCAATAGTCGATTTGATCAATACCCTTGATGTCCGTGGGGATGACCGGTTCCGAGCCTGTGGCGACGATGACGGCGTGGATGGCGGTCAACGTCGCTTCTTGGCCGTTGGCATTCTTCACCAGCACCTTCTTCTCTCCGACGATGGACCCTTTGCCTCGCACGACGGAACATTTCTGCTTCAACGACAGGTTCAAGATAAAGTCGTCGTCCCATTTGTTTGTGACTTTGTCCCGTCGCTCGAACACGCCTTGGACGTCGACGAGGCGATCAGCCGCAATCAGCTGCTTGGCACCGCCAATCTGGCGGGCGCCGGCGATCGCCTCGCCAGGACGCAGCATCGCCTTGGAGGGCATGCACGCCCAGTAGGGACATTCGCCGCCCCAGAGCTCGTCCTCGATGACGACCGAGGAGAGGCCCGCCGCGGCGGTCTTGGACGCCAGTTGACGGCCCACGGGACCTGAGCCGATGACGACGACATCAAACGTGGCGGATTGCAGGGAATCTGGGAGGTGGTTGTCCGGGTGAAGGTTGACGTTGCGAGGTGCCCTTGTTTGCATATTGACAAATGTGAAAAGGTATCAGGAAGCGTTTTTGGGGGTCGAATCCCGCGAGGAGAGTTTCTCAGAGGTTTGAGCTGAGAGGGCAACCGCTTCCATTCCATCCAACAGATCGAGGGCGCAGCAATCCCCTTTTCAACCTTTTTTTTTTTTCAAAACTTTTTGTGCTGTTCTCCGTCACCAATGCAGGATCCCTGACAATAATTCGTAATCCATGTTGCTGTTCTGTCTGCTCTGACCCAGACCAGTCCCGGTCCAACCAGTGTAGTGCGCCACGCAGCTCGGACGGACCGATCGTTGAACTTTGTCAAAACCAGCGTTTGATAAGTTATCCAGTGGTGTATGGCCAGTGGCAGCCAGTGCCAAACCATTCCCGACGTGGCTGGTCCGTCCGCATTTTCCGTCAGCGTGCATAGTTTGGATCGTGATCAACGCCCACGCGGGCGCGCGCGCGCGCGCAGTGTACATCCGCACTCCTGGGGTAGTTATCATTGGATACGCATTCCATGAAACGTAGTCACTGGGCTTTTGTGGAGGGGGGTTATCTTGTTTGCCTCCCCTCCCCTTCCCCTCTTTCTTACCGGATCTATCCATCCTGCATCAGTCTCGAATTTGGATGCGCAACACAACATACGCCAAGCGACGTGGGGTCAGAGAAAATCCTGGGGCAAAGTTTTTTGAGTTTTCTTATTAACGGTTTATTACATATTAAGTGTGGCACCAAAGTGACCAACCACGTGAAGAAAGTGGGCTGAGTGAGTGGCTTGGCTTTCCCTTTTGGGGTCAAATCCCCAGATTCCGCAGGTCTGAATTTCCTAATCGGGAAAACGCTCTTTGGGTATTAATTCCTTGTATATGTGTTTTGTTGTTAAGAAGGGTTGGTGGCGGGGAAGGGAGCCGTCCTCCACAAAGGCTTGCTGGAGGAGACTGGGAGGTAAGTAGGAAGGAAGTAATAGATACTGGGAAAACGTGGCGGACATGGCAAGGCCGTGATATCAGGCGGGTTACATTGCGTACAACTCTTTATCTTGATGAATCACTCCCTACAGCCATTCACTTCCACCTTGTCCTCCTTGCACCGCGCATCAACCCGACCGCAAACGCCATTGAAATCGGAATTCACCAACCCCAGTAACCCAGCGCCCCGCTGTTGACACTGTCAACGTGTCGGTGGTTGCCAGACCTCTGGTCCAACCGTGATCACTTCTGCAGGCCATACCACCGACCAGGGTGTTACTTCTCCTAGCACCTTTAATCGTACCTGCCTCTTGACGATTGGAGTCAAACCTAGACAGACATAGCCCTCGACCTTCCCCCCTGCACAGGAGTGTATTTTCCTCTCCAACGAATAGGCGTCTCCAAAAGATGGGAACCGGAAATCAAAGTAGGAGTTGATACTCTTGCACTCTCCCATTCGCCAATCGAGGGCAAATTTGAAAAGCTCGGTCAGGTTTTCTCGGAGCCTCCCACGCTCGACAGGCTCTTGAAAGAAATCGGATACGGTTGCCCCATCAGTGGCTGTGAGAGGGTCCGTCGGTTGACACCACCACACACCAGTAACATATCGCGGTAGAAAGTGCTTCTCCGACTTGGGTAGAAGTATGTCGAGATATTGAGCCATCTGGGTAGCCATGTTTTCAGCGTTTGTTTGATTTTGGGGCAGGAAGTGTCTGTCCACGTATTTCGCCCAAAACCTCTCTTTTAAATTGGCCGCCACAACTGGCGCAAGACCTGTAGAAGTCAGTGGCGCTCGATCAAAGTGTCAGGAATTCTATACACACTCACATTTTTCGTGGACCTCTTCAAACATGTGCTTCAACGAGTCAGAGAAGAAATCCTGCCAACATGGTGATCTATTCAGACACCATGATGTGACTGCTGCACCGATCAGTGAACTACTAAATGAGACCCAGTCAACCGTATTGGTCCTTCTTTGTAGTGCCTCAAAGTCACGACGATAACGCGTCGGGACGACGGTCTCGAGCAGCCGTTTGAGTTGCACTGGATAGATAATCCTGGGGTCCAGGAGGACCGTTTGCTCAGTCATCCCCAAGCTGCCGAGATACGGCCCAGCAGCTCCACCGGCCGATACCCTGATTTTGTCCATCATGTACTTGATTCTTGAACTGCATGTAAAAAGGGTATGCTCATACAGGAGCTCAGCCATCCTGGGCTGATGGTCTTCCCAGAACTCCAGTGCCTCAAGAATCTTATGACCAGGTGGATTCTGTGGTAGAGGTGATCGATTGACTGCCGCATCTGCTGGACGCGGAGAAGTAGCGTCTTCAGTTTCCAGGTATGCTTGAGGCTCCGCAAGGGGAATGTCTCTTGCTGGCTGAATCTGTGCCTGAGATGCAGTACCATGGACGGTATTTGGTTGGACCTCAGGAGTCAGCACAGCACTGGCATATAGCGGGATTTCAGCCTCGGGTTCATCAGCATCTTGCGTCGTGATCTGCAACAAGCTGTCACTGGAGGAAGTTGACGTCACACTCCTAGCGGAGCTGACTGAATCCGTCGACTTTGCACGTTTCGATGGCGAGCAGTCGTTTGGGTCGCTTGAGCTCACTGGATCCTCAGCCTTTCGCTTTTCGCCCGGGTTGATTGCCGGACAAGGATTATTGTCCGCACTTTGAGCGAGGTCTCGTGGCTCCTCTGACGAGAAGAGGTCTGCAAACCCGGGCCCAAGTTTTTCATGATCCAGAGCTGCAACACCCTCGTCGAAGAACGTGGTGGCCGCGAACGGTGTGGTCTCATACTTGGCCAATCTGTACTTGTTCCACATACGTCTCAATTTGTCGTTGATCCTGCGTTTCAAGACAACAGTGCCTAGTTGAGGGGTACTGGAGAACTGATCGTGGAGATGTGCGGCCATTTCGTCAAGGGCGAGTTCGAAATTTTGTCGCAGTGTCCCATCCGGTCCTTTATTCTGCTCTATCCACTCCAGCAGGAGCTTTTCAGCTGCAGGAGTCCACTGCAGGGGACCGCTCTTCTTTGTCATGTTGGGCGAAGCGAGGATGAGCTGCGGAGAGGGCAGTGCTATGTAGATTTATACTGGGAGAATGTGTGGATGAGGTGTACGAGACGAGAGGAGATGGACGAAAGAAGTGAAGTTCGTAGGGAGAAGTCAGTCAAGGGGAGGGCTGCGGCTTGCTTTATCTGACCATGTCTCGGCCGTTACACCGAAAGGGTTTCTGCATGCGGACGTATTTTTCGATCTTGGTTGTCTGGAACTGCGGTCGACACAAAGAAAGTGGCCGTGAGCGGGGCATGGCGTGAGTCAGGAGCGGACAGATTGCTTTGTCTGAATTGATCCACTGGCGGATTGAGTGAAGTCAGTGACTGAATGATTGCTAGAATGATTGATTAAGTGATTTGAGAGTGGCAAAAGGTCTGGTCTCAATCAAAACAGCATGTTTGCTGGCTTCACTTGAAGATCGTGGAAGACTGCAATTGTCACTTGTCAGTGTCTCTCACTTCCCACTTCCCACCCGCCATTACTGCCTCCTGTACAAGGCACTTGACAGCCTTGCCTTCATTCTCTATAAATTCTTGTTCTTCTCTCTTCATTTCAACCAGATACTCTTCCAACCAGATACTCTTCCAACCAGATACTCTTCCAACCAGATACTCTTCCAACCAGATACTCTTCCAACCAGATACTCTTCCAACCAGATACTCTTCCAACCAGATACTCTTCCAACCAGATACCCTTTCAACCTTCTTTGGGCTTCCTCTATCTCACCAGGATCCTCACATCTCACCATTGCTTCTTCCCATCTATATTCCATATCGAATATGCAGAGCCTCATCAGCCGACGCAAACACTTTCCCCTCAACCAAAATCATCAGAGCAACCTCATACAGCCCGACACCCATCGCCTCAAAGTTGCCATCGATTTTGGGACCACGACTTCCTCCATTTGCTATGACGAGGTTGCCGGTGTGGAACCATTGCAATCCCGCAAAGTAGCCCGGAATGTGGTCTGCAATCCATATGAAACGACACGCCACAGAGTGCCGTCGACCGCTGTTGTCCATGAAGATATTGCCAGTGGTGGGCGCAAGAGATTGGTGCTGAAGTTTGGGGAGAACCTCGATGCTGACCGTCCTCATGGCGTCCTTGCTGAGATCACGTTGATGAAGTTGTCGCTCCTACCTCTCTATCTTGAGAAGTCATCGGATCGGCTCACGGTGAACATGCTCAATTCTCTCAAGGCCCGCCACCAAGATGCTCTACGCAAGATTCAGTTCGAGGCCGTGACCAGTGATATGTATACACAAGATCCTCTCACGGGCCAGTTCAGACTCTGCGCTGTCAACTCAATGGAGGACTTGATCACCTTGTTCTTCGAGTTCCTTTGGCATCTCACTATGAGACACTGTGCCGCAGCGTATGGCATCGGAGTGGAGGACGTAACGAGTCTGTTTCACGAAAGTGTCGACGTCGCCATTTCTGTTCCATCAATTGGACTTGATGATTCTCCCATGGGGAATTACCAACAGTTGTTGAACAAGGCTGGATATCCCAAGAACACCTGCATCCTTTTCGAGGGAAAATCGGCCGGATTGTTTCATCTCGTCACAGAACGTGAGGGCAAAAATGACAGACTGGATCAGGTGGAACGCCAACGCGCTTCCATCATTGTTGATATTGGCGGTGGAACAACTGATATCTGCTTCGTCCGCCCAAGCGACATCAACGACGAAACTGTTATGCTTGGGTCCAGCCTCGGACTTAGCGTTGTTGATGGATCGCTCAAGCTCAATGAATTGTTCAAAGAGCATTTGCGGCAGGAAGTTCCAGAAGGCTTGCTCCAATATATGGCGGAATTCCCCGGAACTGAGTCCGACCTGCTGGATGCCTTTGCGGCAGACTTCGAAATCCAGAAGAGAGATACCGGCACTCACCTGAACGACATTCGGATTCAGCCTCATTGCGGAGCCCTCAAGGTAACGAAAGAACTTCATGGCGATACCTTCAAGCTCACGGAAGACGGTCTTTTTTTGCGAAATTTCATGTTGCGCAGACTGTTCGACATGTGGCTAGACAATATCTTTCGCCTTGTGGACGAGGAGGTGCGAGAAGCTCGGCTCTACAATCCCGGAGTGCAATCTGTCACAATTTGTCTGGCTGGTTGGGGAAGTCGCCCCCCCTACGTCCTAGAGGCCTTCGGAAACCGTTACCGCCAACAAGGAACCACGGTGGTGATGGTTCAAGACCTTGACCAGAGTCCGGCGGTCGCCCAAGGCAATTTCTTGTCTCTTGCAAGCCAAATGATTATCCAGAAAAAGGTCGCCCGGGCGACATTTGGCACTCGTCTTCACACCTCGAGCAGCTTCCGCCACGTTAATACCCATGGTACACAGTGGGTGGTCCTCCAGGGTACGGACTTGGATGACCCCCGCCAGCAATCGTCCCTGACAAGAACGGTCGTTACCGAGAACCCAGTTTTCCCGCTAACCCTAAAATTTGACATCATGTCGGACACCGAATTCCAATGGGTTGAGAACGAGGGCAAGGTCCAGATTGAGTTCGAGAGTTTGGGAAGCTGCGGCTTCCGCCTCGAACAACGTGGCGATGGCGTAACAGTCTTGAAGGTGCAATATTCTGTCCATGTCTGTTATCGAGGGATGGTCAGCTTAATGGTCCTGACTGTGCCTCACACGGGTGATTTTGACAACACCGAAAGAAACAGAAACCTCGACATGATTGCATCCCAACCAATCAACATTCAGAAGCATGCAGCAAGAATGGACAACATCAATGACCCTTAGCATGGGGGCGGTTCTCTACTGCCAAGAAAACCAAAAGGCGTTCGTGTCAACCTTGATCGAGGAACCGGTTGAGATTTTATCTTGGGGAGAGGTTGCTTTGCCGTGTGTGACCAGTGGGAGCCGGATGACGGGGATGCCACGATACTTTTTGCTGGTTTTATTGAAATGATCGAGCTGCAAAAGTGCTGAAGGGTTGACAACGAGCTGTTTGGAAGAACAAACAAACGGACATGGGAACAGACTCTTGGTGTGCAGAGTAGCGCTGTGTGATTTGTGGTGGTGGTCGGGTCAGGACAACCGTGACGACCTTCTTATTTTGGACAAATACCACAGATGGTCCTGTGACGGTCTTCAGCATGTGAGATATGACAGCGGGGGGTTGGGGGATATGCCACCATCACAGGGTACGATCCATTGGAAACAATCATGTCAGGATAGTCTGTCGCTCATTTTGTATCGAGAAAACAGGCCGGAAAAAGGAAGAAGGGAAAAAAGAATTCCATGGCTGCTCGATCGATGTATTGGTATTAGCGTTGGTATTGGTATTGTTATTCCCCGAAACAATTGACAAAGCGCCGTGTCCTCCCTCCGTGTGACTGTGGGTGCAGGAAAGCCCACCGTTTTCAGCGGCCAGTCCAGCTCTCCACCGGTCGTCGGGACATACAGCAGACCTTTGCTCTTTTTTGTCCCCGTGTGTGTACGTATCTCCCTACCTGCATACCAGATACTTTGTTAGAACTGTACCAGCACCAGGCTATATTGCTCCGTACAGGTATGCAAGCTCTGTCAGCCCAACAGCCCAACGACCCAACTTGCCCCATCACCTTGCTGTACTCGTACCTGTGGCTTTCCAAATCGGACAGGCAAACAGGGACATACAGAGTAACGCGCCTACAGCGCCATCACTCCACTCAACCCCACTGTCCACAACGGCCTTTGTGCACGGTAGTGACTAGGGGGGGGGGGGGGGGGAGGGGGACTGGGCGTATGATGCAGACGTCTTTTGTGTGCAAGTGCCGTATGGGCTTGTCGAGACCGCGTAAACAACATACCATCCCCATCCTCTTTGTAAAGTAAGTACCTAGGAGACTTTGTATCTTCGACGCCTACCTGTATTACAAAGTACATAGACATCTCACGTCCTCGTACGAAGTGGAAGCAGAAGCCAGATTGTCGGTGCTAAGGCGCGAGGTACGCTATGGTACGTACCTATGTACCGAGTACATACTCGGTGCACAAGGGATCCACAAACAAAGGGGCCAGAAAAAGGGCGCGCGGGGCTACTAAAAGGGGAAAGACCCATACCCGATGCGGAAAGTCTGCCATTCCCGAAACCAGAAAGCGCTCCCAGCGAACCAAAAAAAAAAAACCAAACAAACAAACAAAAAGATCCTCCTTGTATTTTAGACCAGAACTCGCGAATAATTCATGGGTGGCATGGTAATGGGTCCTTCTCTTTTTTTTTTTTTTTTTGGTTCTTTTGCACCGTGGGTCTTGGTCGTACTTGTGCTCGGTACTTTGGGTACTTACTAAAACATGATTAAACTCGTACTTGTCGATCCAAACAACTCCAAATACTACAAAGTGCGTATCTACGGTATACCTGGGTATTGGCCAAATAACCCATGACCCATGATGAATAAATGATCAATGATAGATGACGAGATAGGCGCTTCTGGCTGGAAATACAGTACTTCATGCCCAAAACCAACACAAAACACAGAAACAGGAGAGACGAGAAAAGTGTACTTTCGGTAACGGGATACGGGGGTCACCCAACATTACCCAACACTAGGTATGTTCCCTAGGTACAAAGTGCATAGGGTCCTTTTCATCCCTCTCTCTTGGACGTGATTAGTAAAGTACATAGTAGACCACGAGGCTGATAAGGATAAGGTTAAGGACCCTGCACAAAGACCACAAAGACCGTGTGCCCTGTCCGCCCCGGTCTCCAGCGTCGAAGGAGTCAGTCGCTTACGTGGGCGGGATCGGGCCGGCATAAAGCTCTGTCTGTTTACAGACCGGCGATTTGAAAAGCCGCATGGAGAAACAAAGGTGATCCTTCAGGTATTGTTATAGTAAAGAGCCCGCGTCAAAGGGGCTAGCAAAAGCATAATGCGAATACATGTACGAGGTAGTTGCGCGGGTCTCCACATTCTGCAGTACGTGGCTTGATGTCTCTCGCAACAAGTCGTACACCGTGCTGAGCAGGTCACGGCACTG